ACAAATAAAATCACATTTCTCTCACCTCAAATAAGTTTAGTTCTTTGCTCACTGATTCTGCAGAAATCCACCTTGTTTTTCAGTCTCCTGTGATCATTTTTCCTGATAGAGCCGGACCCATGCATGTCCCTATTTGAAAACTTTATTTATCTATGAATTTATTCATTCATTTATTATTTTATTTTATTTTGTTTACTTGAGTTGATACAAAGCAAACAGTTTGATTTTAAAACCTGTTCGAGACTCAGACGGCTCGGTGTTGTCTTTGCTTGTACTTGCTGTGAAAAAGTTTGAAATCCATTCTTCAGTTTGGCTTTTAACTTACAGTATCTAACTAGAGACGAGCAAATGACACCAGCAGACCAAATCACAGGTCAGATCTGTGGAGAATCGACCCCGGCGACAGTAAGAATACATTTTTCCAGTTATGTGCTAGTGTGTGCATTAAAAGTAGGCTAATGAAACACATGGTAGACCGTATTGTTGAGGCTAATCTGAACTTGCTTTCTTAAATTAAATAAAGAAAATCAAAATAATGACTGTAGCTCTATTTACTCCAGAACCTCCGGTGAAGAAACAAATGCATTATTTATAAACAGCATCATTAAGAAAGGCTCAAAAATCCCACTTCTGCTTTGGAAAGAAGCAAGAAACCGGATTTTCAGGTCAGGATATAAAAGTGGTTTTGGTTTTAATGTCAGAACATCTGAGCTGGAAAAGGATACGCAAGTTCAAAAAGCAGCATATACACCTTAACCTTAAAGGGACAGTTTGGAATTTTGGACATTGGACCTCATTTCCTGAGTGTTGGAGATGTGTGGAGTAGGGATGGGCATTCGATGAAATTTTCTTAATCGATCGTCGGGAGAATTAACAATCGATTTTCAATTAATCATTAATGTTTTTATATTAAAATTATCATAATTATTATTACTATCTGCACTACTAATCTGCATAAATAAATTCATCTTTATGACATATAAACAGTAACGACTCTAGAGCCACATCAATCCGTTTGACATTATAATGTGTTTAATTCAGTTTTGTTCAACTCTCACAGAAACAAAACTTAAAACCGCATCGCTAATTTGCATAAACTAAGCGAAGATAAAACTACAGCTCTTGTGTCGCTGATGCTGTTTAACTTCTGTCGGATTAAAAGACATGACTCAGTGGAATACAGGTTAGTGTGACCAGATTTGCGTTTGTCAAAACCAGGACACCGTACGGGGGGAGGGAGGTGGGGACTCGTCATCCACATTGAGCGACTCTCACCTGGTAAAACTTTTTCCCACTGGACACTGAAACATATGTGCTGCTTTATACACTGTGCACATGGACTCACACTTGTCCCGAACGCAACGGAAAGCGTGGAATTTCTTGTACAAGTCATCGTTAAACATGCATTTGTGCTTCGGTACGTTGCAGACTGACCGAATGTTTGTGTCTCGCTCCTTCTGATGCAGAGACACATGTACACACCTGTTTGGTCACATTACACACAACAACCTACATTCGGTTTGTCGATTAAAATGAATGTAATCGATGAAATTCTTAATGATCAATTATCGATTAATCGATTAATCATGCCCATCCCTAGTGTGGAGACACTTTTTTAAAATATTCCATCCAGTCCTTGTATTTGCAGAGGTCACTGGTGTTAGACTAGTGCATGTCAGTGGTCATAATTATCCTGCCACTAAAAACAGATTTACCCACTCCACAAAACACCCGAAGCAAATCTATTATTACACCAGACTGTCCATGTAAATGTCTGTGTTTATAGAACAATGTTTGAAATAAAACTAACCTTGCGTCGCATGAATCGCTGCATGTTGAGGGACTATTTTCTCATATATCAGTCCGCCAGGAAGTACAACTCACTGCTGCTGCTCAGACATAAATCCTTCAAATGCAAGGTTGGTTTTACTTATGTCTATAAAAGACCACTTTTGTTTAGTTAATTTAATATTTAATTTAATATTTTTTGAGATATGTGCATCTTTATTTTATTTTATTTATTATTTTAATTATGGTGGATTGTCTTATTAGTTCGGTCGCCTGCTGGATAACCAAAGCTGAAAGTAGTTTTATTTTTTTGCTAGTACATTTACATTTTTGTTTACATCCATTACATACATATTTTTCATATTGTTTGTCATAATGTCATATTGCTCTGAGGCCTCGACCATTAATTAGTGGCACTGAGGGCAGTTTGTTGGGGGGCCCCTCCAGGTTTGGGGGCCTTAAGCAACCGCCTACTTTTGCCTAATGGCAGCGCCGCCTCTGCACATGACATCACAAAGAGAGACAAAGTGCTTTCTTTTTGAGAGAAGAACTAAATATGCAGGATTTGTGTTTTAAACATGTGTGAATGAAACAAAACACAACCCCAGGTTAGTTATGACCCGACAAAGACCATCGTGCTGTTGAAACACACTGGCGTCGCTCCATGTAATAAAGGACTTTTAATATATTCAGTCTGTGTGCCTCGGGTTTCTTGCCCATTTTTACATTTTCCAGTGAGGGTTACATTCTGTTCAGACTTCAAAGTTTAACCCTTGTAGAGCACAGGTACTGTTATTTATTTATTTGACTTTTTTATAACCCAGCTCCACCTTTTCTCTTCATCTGGTAACGCAGATATGTCTGTGGTGAAGTAATAACACTAAATTCACATTAAAGTTGTGTAATATGAGCCTTTTAAACAGGAGATAAGCTGTGGAGTCAACTGGCAAAAGTACAGGTCACATCTGTGGAGAATCGAGCCCATTCGCTGTATAAACACATGATTTTCAAGTTATTTTTATCAATGCCTGTAATTTGATACATGCAAGATTTAGATTTGAAGCGATCACTTCATCACTCACTTGAAAAGTTGCATAGTGCGTCTTTAACCTTATCGATCTATTGATTTGTGTCGTATATTTGACTGTATTGTGAAATAATGGGTTAAATGCAAAGGAATTTAAGGTCACATAACAAAACTCAGACCAACGCCTCAAAACCAAATCTGAAATACAAAACAAGTGATACTAATATATGGCTTCAACACGCTTTACGCAAAGATGTCCCATTGTGTTTAGCATTTCTTGCCGGACGTTGCAGGTTCAGGTTCGTCTCATTAAGATGAGCTCCAGACCTCAGAGCAGAGCCCGTCAGAGCTGAGCCCCTCAGAGCTGAGCCCAGCACTAATTGGTAATCAGGTTGGGAAGGGCAGAGGTTCCCTGGCTGATGTCTGACCTCTCTCCTCCCCTCTACGCTCGCTCTCCTTATCTCTCTCTCTTTGTCACCTTTCTCTCTCTCTATGTCTATCTTTTTTCTTCCCTTCCTCTCACCCTCCAACTCTATGCACCACCTGTTTGTCGTCATGGAGATATTATTGATGTGCAGTAATGTTCCAGACTATGGCTTTAAACATAGATAAGTATTTGTGTAACAGTGGTGATATTCTCATTGACGACAAGAGAAACTAAGCTGTTCTCTTTTTAAATGTTTATTATTGTCATAAATGTAGTTGACATTGAACAGTTTTAAAAGTGTGTTTAGTTTCTGTACAGTCGTTGATAACTTTGCGTTGGTTGTCAGTGTGGTGTTTGATGCTGCGTCTGTCTCTTCTGTCATCGCGCTGTGTCACTGCTGCAGGCGTGAGGGCATCTGGCTCTTCCCCAACTTCAACTGAGTGTGTATGTAAAAAACTTTCACCCAATCAGAGCAGTGGAAATGCAAGGCCCTGATTAGATTCATGTGAAAAAAAGATAGAAAATGAAAGCCGAAAGCGGCATTGAATGGCCCCTGTGGACCGTGCTTCTCCGAGCCACCGCTCCCTGAGTCTCTGGCACACACATGTCTGTGTTCTGGTGGCTTCACCGTGTACATGTCTCTACACAGACCAAGGCAACACACACTGGAAGTGCTGAAGCCGTGGCAACACCTTCCAAAATACCACTTTGGTCCCCTGGACTTTCTTGATCTGGATCTGAAGAGTCACTGTGACCCTGTGCAGCAAGATGGATTCTCACGATATTTGTGAGTTCACGAGAATCCATCTTGAGGTTCTTGATCGGCCCAATCACAGGGCTTCTATGGTCAGGGGAAGAAGTTTCAGGCAACATGACAACAACTCCTAACAGCAGGCCTACACCATAGACTGTAAACATCTTATTTAAAAAAAAAAAGCTGACTCAGCATTTTTAAATTTGATCCAAGCTGGCATTTTCCGGTTTGTCATGGTGCATGCCCATAGTAATATTTGCCTTCACATGCTGAAACGTTTACAGAATTTCGTGGCTCTTGACTGACTTTGTCAGGATGACTCCCGATGTATTTTTCCTTTTGTTGCCAGAAGAAAAAAATGTATTAGAACAGATACATTTACAACTGTGTGGTGAAAATACAGTAATTTCCAAAGAAAATGATTAATGTCATTTTGCCTTAAATGGACATAAAAACAGTCATGTACAGTACATACAGTCAGGGTCTGCTGCTGTAGACCTCCATACGGTCAAGAACAGTTACTGCTACTGTAAACAACTTTGGGTTTAATTACAGTTAATTACAGTTAATTACAGTTAATTACAGTTAATTACAGTTCATCACTGGCGCCTATTTGCCGGTGATGTAATGTTCATTTAACCTTCCTGGTTTTACAGTGAGACTTTGCCTCCTTCAGTGTTCAGGTGGATGACATTCGTCACCTTGATAAGAACAAACTCAATCCTCCTGTGGGCTTTAAAAGCCGACTGGAAAACACCAGAGGAGTTGTTCATTTGGAGGAAGTTAGTAAACTGTTGGTAAACAGCTTTTTCAAGGACTTTGCCTAAACATTTGCGATGAGTCTGTCTATCTCCATTCTCCTGCTGTGAGCCATTATGTGATAAATAAAGGTTATCTAATCTTATCTTATAACAATACAAATACAGATAATGAGATTGTTGTGTGGTAAATCCATAACTGTTCTAAAAACACATAGTAACACTCTGACACTTGTTTTACTTCTTTATTCAAGAGAAACTGATTTTTCCCATACAAATTTAATCCAATGCATTTATTATTAAGACACTGTGGCTGTCATTAGCCATGACTCGTCCGTCCTTCTCGACGCTGCAGTCTCTGAGCACCGTCATCACCTCCCGTCTGAGCTCAGGAGACGCTCTTTTACTGAAATCCTGCACCTTAGTGAGAAAGTCCAGCAGCAGTTCTCCGGTCTCATGTCCTTCAGTGAAACAGTCTGTGATGTCCACAGTAGACAGCAGCTGGTAGCTCTCATAGACGACCCCGCGGGCGTCCAGCAGACTCTTGATCACTTCTATGGACAAAGCTGAAGAAGGATGATATTCCTGACACAGCTGACCTTGGACAACTTTGGAAACCCTCACCTGAGAACACACCTCTGAAATAAGAAGCACAAATAAAAGATGACTTTGGCCAGGGATCTATGACCTGGAGATTGATCAGGGATGTGATCTTTAATTGCCCCTTAGAGTTTTTTTTAACAGTGCTTTCTGGTAATTTAACCTTCAAAAAACATACTGACAAAAATCTATATTTGTGAGCATAACCACTAACACAAATAGTCTGTTGTTTGGTGTTTCTGTGTTTGGAGGGTGGGGGGCATGGACTGTAAACAGTGTTGGGAAGGTGACTTTTAAAATGTAATCCCCGACAGATTACAGATTACATACACCAAAAAGTAGTTTGTAACGTAATCCATTAAATTACTTAAAGTGAGTTACGTAATCTGAATACTTTGGATTACTTGATATTGTCATGATTTTTAAAACTACATGAATGTACCAACCACATCCTGAAAATTCATGTTTGTTCTCTTCAAATTGGCCCTGGTTTAGACCTGGTTTAGACCTGGTTTAGACCTAGTTTAGACCTAGTTTAGACCTGGTTTAGACCTGGTTTAGTCCTGGTTTAGACCTGGTTTAGTCCTGGTTTAGACCTGGTTTAGTCCTGGTTTAGTCCTGGTTTAGACCTGGTTTAGACCTAGTTTAGTCCTGGTTTAGTCCTGGTTTAGACCTAGTTTAAACCTGGTTTAGACCTGGTTTAGACCTGGTTTAGACCTGGTTTAGTCCTGGTTTTAGTCCTGGTTTAGACCTAGTTTAAACCTGGTTTAGACCTAGTTTAGTCCTGGTTTAGTCCTGGTTTAGACCTCGTTTTAGTCCTGGTTTTGCCGAAAATGTGAAAACAGGAAAATCCCGCTGTGTAATCCATTTATTTCAACAAAGTAACTGTAATCCAATTACCACTCACTGAAACAGTAACTGTAACTGAATACAGTTACTCATAATTTGTACTCTGATTACTTAACTCCGGTACATGTAATCTGTTACTCCCCAACACTGACTGTATATAACAGATCCTTCAAAAAAGTTAGTTAATTATAGTTACCCATTACTTTTACTGAGTAACTGCATGACTGGGTGATGAAAGTAACTGCGTACCAGATAAAGTAACTATTAAATTACAAAAAATATCCTTAAAAATACACCCCAGCTGCTTTTTTCAAGTAAAAACAAATTAAATTCAGCTTTATTTATCCCACAAATCACAACGTGGACCCAGAGGCAGTCATGGAGAATCAGCGTTTCTGTTTTCTGCTAGACAAATAAACTTGCTTTGGCCCTACTTCCTGGAAGACAGAAGAAGGGAGGACGTGACAGATCCTTTTACCGTCCGCTAAGATGATGAGCAGCTTTCCGTTCTTGTCGAGGAGACTGTGAAAGAAGTTGATGGCGGCTTCAGGATCCTTCACATAGTACAGCATCTGTGGGTGGAGCACAGACAGCACACGGTCACTGGTCACACTGGAGCGTCTTAGTGTAGCCCTGGACTATTGACTGATCGATCGATTTGTATTTGAAACTTATCACAGAAGTTAGGAAGTACAAGTTTTGTTTACGGTGTTCACAAATACTGCAACAAAAACTATTGTAACTATATTTTATTGAGGTCTACATAGTAAAAAGTGAACAGTGGTGGATTAAGCACACACTTTTGTTACTTAAGTACAGTTACAGAAGCAAAAAGTTACTCAAGGACCCGGTCAAGCAGAAGTAAACAACAAGGCCAAAAATTCAAGTTAATGCATCTGATATAAAAATGTATTGAACAGATACATATGTACTCTAGTTTATGAAACTGTTGACCTTTTTTCTGTACCATTTTTGGTTCTAAAGTTCCATATGTTTTAAACAGACCATGTATGAAACATGGAACAAAAATTATTTCCCAAATTTCAAAGACCCAAAAATCATGTAAATAAATGGATGTATTTCATCATATCTTGTGTTATTCCATCTTTGAACTGTTGATGAAGGTACAAGATTTTTCAAAAGAAAATGTATTTAAAATGATAAAAATTTGCTTGGAAGGACTGACATATTTTATAGAAATAGTTTCCTTTCATTTTGAAGTAATATTAAAGTATTCAGAAGAAAAAAGCAACAAATTATGTAAAATCCTGCACCTTCTACTTGTTTGCACAATTTTCCCTCCGTTACTTTTCCCTCCGTTACCATGACCTTTCTTCATAAAAAATCTCATTAGTCAAAAAGTAAGAGGTTTTTCAACCTAATCTTGTACCATATGGTAGAAAACTATATGAAGCAAATATTCAAACCAGTTTGTTAAGGATATGTAAGTGAGAACCAAGAGTTATCACTGTTTGGATTTATTGCCCAAAAAGTGCTGCATATTTCATTCCCTCCGTTACCAACATGAGTTTTTAAATTTTTTGTCAACAACTTGTAGAATATCACAGGTTTAACTTGACCCTGTTGGAGTGTAACTCTTTCCTACATTCTGATACTTTACTTATTTCAATAGTTCCTCTAGTTTCTGAATAAGAGACATTTGAATGTAAAAAATCTGCCCCTGTTTCCCTCCGTTACTGCTTGACCCAGACCTTCAAGTAAAAGTATCACATTAAAAAATCTACTTAAGTAAAAGTATTACATGAACCTGTTTAAAAATGTACTTTTAGAGTAAAAAGTATTTCACACAGATTTTAAGTGTTAAATGTAGTGATACTGATTAAAAATGATACAGGTTTTGAAATACAAATCAATTTCTTAAATTTTCTGATTAATTGTGTGTATTTATTTTTGTTTACTGAAAGCTGAAGTTTAAATTTAAGACCTTTTAGTCAGGAACTGTCATGAAAGTGATAAAAATCATGTCTAAAATCATATCAAAAGTTACTTTTACTTTTCAGTTCAGTACAAAAATGTAGTTGAATAGAAAGTACTGATACCTTCTCCCAAATGTAAGTGTCCACATTAAAATTTACTAGAGTAAAGTACAGATGCCTCAATACTGTTTAATGCTGAATTAAGGACATATTTTTTAACAACGCAGAAGTCACAACATTAACAAGTAAATGATATTTGATTAAGAACACAGAGAGAGCACGGACATACAGAGATATTTAATGTCAGTGTATTTTTGTATACTTGTTTATTTATAGATTGCATTGTTTATACTGTTTCTGTATTCTGTGTTTGTCAAGGACTAGAGATGGAAATCACCTCCTTGAGCTACAGTCTTGTACAAAGCGTCTTTACAATGTTTCTTTGTACATGGTCCCTGTAAAATAAAATAAATAAAGTAAAATGTATACTTAAGTACAGGACTTTACTACTTGTACTTCTTTACTGCTGAAAATGAGCTCAGGAGAATTGTGTCTGTTTATCTGTTTACACACACACATACTGTATATACACAAACTGTATATACACACACTGTATATACACATACTGTATATACACAAACTGTATATACACATACTGTATATACACAAACTGTATATACACAAACTGTATATACACATACTGTATATACACATACTGTATATACACAAACTGTATATACACATACTGTATATACACAAACTGTATATACACAAACTGTATATACACAAACTGTATATACACAAACTGTATATACACAACTGTATATACACATACTGTATATACACAAACTGTATATACACAAACTGTATATACACAAACTGTATATACACAAACTGTATATACACAAACTGTATATACACATACTGTATATACACATACTGTATATACACAAACTGTATATACACAAACTGTATATACACAAACTGTATATACACAAACTGTATATACACATACTGTATATACACATACTGTATATACACAAACTGTATATACACATACTGTATATACACAAACTGTATATACACATACTGTATATACACAAACTGTATATACACAAACTGTATATACACATAAACTGTATATACACATACTGTATATACACAAACTGTATATACACATACTGTATATACACAAACTGTATATACATGTACAATAGTTAAAGGGCCTGTTCCTGATGTTAGGTCAGTGGCAGGTGCTAAAGGTTCAAACTAATACCGTATTTTCCGGGTTATTAGATGTGCTCTTAAAACTATAACTGCATCAAAAAACAACCGCGCCACAATCCAGAGCACCACATACATGAATCCACTCAGGTGTCCCAGCACGACTTCAGTAAACTATAGCTCCGTTCAGACTGCAGGACTTAACACTCAATTCTGATTTTTTTTTGTGAAATCCGATGTTTTTGCGAGGTCGTTCACATTTCCAATTAAATGTGACTTGTATGTGACTCCAGTGTGAATGTTAAATGCCCCAAAAGTGTCCCACATGTGACACTGGAGACACGACGACGTCAACCGCAGTGAGCGTCTCTGTGTTTACGGAAGTTCTGTTGTGTACCACTGGAGTGGACCCCAAAAACAGACTCAGAACGAGGGCAAAAATGCAAAAAAGAAACAAAGGTTTATTGACGAGGCAGGATAAGCAGTGGAGGAGCGAGGAGCCAGGAGCTGGAATGCCGGAGTCTTCCACAGCGGGAACTAGGAAATACAAAAATGCAGGTAAGTAACAGGAAGCGACGTAGAAACAAAAACTGAGCCGACTGGTAGATCACCATCAGGTAGACGAAACAATCTGGCAGAGTCTGGCTGGAGAGCTGGGCCTTTGTAGCAGGCTTGATTGCAGATGGAGAGCAGGTGCTCCCAGCAGACTCCGCCCACATCCACACAAGGAAGACTCAGGTCACAGGCAGGGGCGTGACAAGTTGTCCAAACATGGACGCAGCATTGAGCACCTGGAGATTTTAAAGTTCCTCTCGTACCGGAGCCAGAACATGAACAACTTACTTGTTTTAAGGAGGAGATTAAGAAGGAGAAGGACGAGGTTTTTGGTCGTGGTGTTTTGTGGGGCAGCGGCAGCGACGTCTGTTGAAAGGAAAGTGTGGATGTGGAGACGGAGCCAAGAGTGGTGAGTGGTGATGTGCTTCACTTCAGTGACACAGAGTTCATTAACAATTTTCGCCTACTTCAGCGCAGAATAGTGACGTTTGTGTCTTGTTGATAACGTGTAGGTGGATGAATGCACTTTGGCCGTTCAGACTGAAGTCACATGTCAAAAGATCAGATATGTATCAGTTTCAGGAGCACATATCCAAGTGTCCTGGGTCACATTTGAAAAAATCTGATCTGTGTCATTAAAAGATCAGATACAGTCTGAATGTAGCCTATAAAGCCGCACCACGAGCAGAACACGCAAACACACACGAAGCAGACAGCGACCGCGCGGCGAAACACACCCACAGACACACTCATCACTCCACGCCGACGAGGAACGGAACGAAGGACCGAACCAAAAAAGCGAGTCCAATGTGCCGCTTCTAGACACGACTGAACAACTGAGTCGCTGCGAACACGCCGACAATCCGTTGGTCCCAGACACACCCTCCCTACACGCCACAACTGAACAAAGCCCAGAGTCACCGTGAACGAACAAACAAACAAAACCACTCACACATCACACTGTTGGGTTTCATTTAAAGTTCGGTGTGGTTTATTTGTGAAAAAGGTTTGAAAATAGACCATTTAATGACAGTGCGTCTTATAATCCAGAGCGACTAATAGCCCAGAAAATCCAGTACATGTTTCTGGCTCATTGTTTGAAATCAGGAACAGGGCTTTTAACGCCCACCTTGAATCCTCTACATATTTTACAACGATTACAGTTTGGTTTCAACATTTAGCCCAAAAGAGAGTGAGTATAAAAAAACAACTCCCATTCCCTTTGTGTGTTTAGACAAATATAAGAGTCACGCGCACAGACCTCGACCATGTGGATGAAGTCGACCTTCTTGGTGATGTTCTTCTGTTTCCAGTGCTCCTCAAACTCCGTGTCCGTCATCTCATTCCAGGTAAACTTGACGAAATCAAAATGGGAGTTCTGATTGACCGTCTCTGCAGAACAACAGTCATTTAGAGCGAGTATGACACATGTTGTAAATTCCCCAGTCCTGGATATCTCCTAGATTAGTCAACACATTCAGCTAAAACTTAAGTAAAGAAGACGTATTGTGCTTGTGTCTGTTGTATAGTTCTACTTTATGACCCCCGTGGATCAATATGTTATAATTTGAACATTTCAAATCAAAATATTCATCTAAAACAACAAAGAAACGTCCAGTGACATCAGCATGACGCCCAACAGGAGCTGATGTCACAGTTAAGGTCATCATCATGAACATCTACAGATCACACTAACCATCAGTGTAACAGATTACATGTACTGGAGTTAAGTAATCAGAGTACAAATTATGAGTAACTGTATTCACTTAGTTACTGTTTCAGTGAGTGGTAATTAGATTACAGTTACTTTGTTGAAATAAATGGATTACACTGCAGTATTTTCCTGTTTTCACATTTTGGGCTTTTTTTTTTTTTGTAATTCCACTTATTGCTGGACACTAAAACAGGTCTAAACTAGATCTAAACCAGGTCTAAACCAGGTCTAAAACCAGGTCTAAAACCAGGTCTAAACTAGGTCTAAAACCAGGTCTAAACTAGGTCTAAACTAGGTCTAAACTAAGTCTAAACCAGGTCTAAAACTAGGTCTAAACTAGGTCTAAACTAGGTCTAAACCAGGTCTAAACCAGGTCTAAAACCAGGTCTAAAAATCTAAACAGGTCTAAAACCAGGTCTAAACCAGGTCTAAACCAGGTCTAAAACCAGGTCTAAACTAGATCTAAACCAGGTCTAAACCAGGTCTAAAACCAGGTCTAAACCAGGTCTAAAACCAGGTCTAAACTAGATCTAAACCAGGTCTAAAACTAGGTCTAAACTAGGTCTAAAACCAGGTCTAAACTAGATCTAAAACTAGGTCTAAAACTAGGTCTAAACTGGGTCTAAACTAGATCTAAAACCAGGTCTAAAACTAGGTCTAAACTGGGTCTAAACTAGGTCTAAAACCAGGTCTAAAACTAGGTCTAAACTAGGTCTAAACTAGGTCTAAAACTAGGTCTAAACTAGGTCTAAACTAGATCTAAAACCAGGTCTAAAACTAGGTCTAAACTAGGTTTAAACTAGATCTAAAACTAGGTCTAAACTGGGTCTAAACTAGGTCTAAAACCAGGTCTAAACTAGGTCTAAACTAAGTCTAAAACCAGGTCTAAAACTAGGTCTAAACTAGGTCTAAACTAGTCTAGGTCTAAACCAGGTCTAAACCAGGTCTAAAAACCAGGTCTAAATCTAAACCAGATCTAAACCAGGTCTAAACCAGGTCTAAAACCAGGTCTAAACTAGATCTAAACCAGGTCTAAACCAGGTCTAAAACCAGGTCTAAACCAGGTCTAAAACCAGGTCTAAACTAGATCTAAACCAGGTCTAAAACTAGGTCTAAAACTAGGTCTAAACTAGATCTAAAACCAGGTCTAAAACTAGGTCTAAACTAGGTCTAAACTAGGTCTAAAACCAGGTCTAAAACCAGGATCTAACAGGACTAAACCATGCCGCTCGGACCGTGTCTCCTCTTCTTCTATCAATAATATTTTTAATTTGGTTCAGTAAAGTTTGGGCTTTTTATTTTCTTTTATCAGACAAAACATCTTATGTTACGATTTCCTCGTCTTTCCTTCTCTCCAGCAAATCAAGTAATCCAAAGTAATCAGATTACTTTACTCACTTTAAGTAATTTAATGGATTACGTTACAAACTACATTTTGGGGTTTGTAATCTGTAATCTGTAGGCAGTGTTGTGAGTGTTACTTTTAAAATGTAATCCCCTACAGATTACAGATTACATACAACAAAATGTAGTTTGTAACGTAATCCATTAAATTACTTAAAGTGAGTAATGTAATCTGAATACTTTGGATTACTTGATATTGTCCTGCTTTTTAAAACTACATGAATGTATCAACCACATCCTGAAAATTCATGTTTGTTCTCTTCAAATTGTCTGTTGACCCAAAGTCTCCATGAATAAGCGACTGTTTACTGTAGAGAAACAAAGACCAGGATCTGTTAGGATCAGGACCAGGATGTTGACATAAGATGTTTTGTTTCCTAAAAGACAATAACAAGATCAGTCTTTCCTTAACCATATTAAAACATGTTATAGATAGAGAAATTATTATTATATGAGATCAACTTCAATTATGTCCAACCTACTGTTAGGTGTCATATTGTTTAGACCTGGTTTAGTCCTGGTTTAGTCCTGGTTTAGTCCTGGTTTTAGTTTAGTCCTGGTTTAGTCCTGGTTTAGTCCTGGTTAGTCCTGGCTTAGTCCTGGTTAGTCCTGGCTTAGTCCTGGTTAGTCCTGGTTAGTCCTTTAGTCCTGGTTTAGTCCTGTTTAGTCCTGGTTTAGTTCTGTTTAGTCCTGGTTAGTCCTGTTTAGTCCTGGTTTAGTCCTGGTTTAGTCCTGATTTAGTCCTGGTTTAGTCCTGGTTAGTCCTGGCTTAGTCCTGGTTTAGTCCTGGTTAGTCCTGGTTTCAGTCCTGGCTTAGTCCTGGTTTAGTCCTGGTTTAGTCCTGGTCCTTTAGTCCTGGTTAGTCCTGTTAGTGGTTTAGTCCTGTTTAGTCCTGTTAGTCCTGGTTTTAGTCCTGTTTAGTCCTGGTTTAGTCCTGATTTAGTCCTGGCTTCGTCCTGGTTTATTTCTGGCTTAGTCCTGGTTAAGTCCTGGTTTAGTCCTGGTTTAGTCCTGGTTAGTCCTGGTTTATTTCTGGCTTAGTCCTGGTTAAGTCCTGGTTTAGTCCTGGTTTATTTCTGGCTTAGTCCTGGTTCAGTCCTGGTTTATTTCTGTCTTTAGTCCTGGTTTAGTCCTGGTTTAGTCCTGGTTTTAGTCCTGGTTCAGTCCTGGTTTAGTCCTGGTTAGTCTGGTTAGTCCTGGTTTAGTCCTGGTTTATTTCTGGCTTAGTCCTGGTTTAGTCCTGGTTTATTTCTGTCTTAGTCCTGGTTTAGTCCTGGTTCAGTCCTGGTTAGTCCTGGTTTAGTCCTGGTTTAGTCCTGGTTTAGTCCTGGTTTCAGTCCTGGTTAGTCCTGGTTTAGTCCTGGTTAGTCCTGGTTTAGTCCTGGTTTAGTCCTGGTTAAGTCCTGGTTTAGTCCTGGTTTGGTCTAGTGTCGATCTTTGTTACCAAGTTCCTAATCAGATTATTTTCTGCGATGAATTAAACAAATACATTAAATCTCCTGTGTGATTAAAGCTTGAACCTCTGAATTTACGGAGCTGATGTCTGCTGGGCTCCACTGTCTCATAATCCAGCCGCGCCCAGGGATGCTTCAGGTGCAGCTGAGTGAGCATCTCCACGTCAACGTCACCTAAACAATCAAATAATCAAAACAGAAAGAGACACGGACTTTAGAAAGACTCTGTGCTTCTTTCAGTTGTTATAGTTTGAATCATTTTGAAGCTCAGGTGCTTCGATCTCTCCGATGGGTCTGATGGTCTCGTCACAAAACTCGACTGTGGTGGATACGGGCTCTTACCTGCTCCACTTCCAACTCCGATGACATTTAACTGTGACTTTCCGTTGCCAATGCTGAAGGAGAGAGCACAAGTTTATTGAAAATTCATATACTTATAATATATATTGTAGGCGTGACCTTTGCACCTACAACTGAATCAAGTGAATACCGTAAGTTTTGGACTATAAATCTCCCCAGAGTATAAGTCGCACCAGTGAAAAAATGAGAAATGAAGACGAAAAAAACATATATAAGCCGCACTTTTTGGGGGAAATAAATTTTATAACAAACTGTTAACGTCACATATGAACAATTCTTCAGATAAACTATACAGTGTTGGGGAGTAATAGATTACATGTACTGGAGTTGAGTAATCAGAGTGCAAATTATGAGTACAGTTACTGTTTCAGTGAGTGGTAATTGGATTACAGTTACTTTGCTGAAATAAATGGATTACACAGAGGGATTTTCCTGTTTTGTCGGTAATTCCACTCATTGCATTGAAACTAAACGAGGTTTAACCTAGAGCTAAACCAGGACTAAGCCAGGACTAAATCCAGGTCTAAACTAGTCCTGGATTAGATCTAGTTTAGATCTAAACCAGGACTAAAACCAGGTCTAAACTAGACCTAAACTAGATCTAAACCAGGTCTAAACCAGGTCTAAACCAGGACTAAACCAGGACTAAAACCAGGACTAAAATCAGGACTAAAACCAGGTCTAAACCAGGTCTAAACCAGGACTAAAACAGGACTAAAACCAGGTCTAAACTCGATCTAAACCAGGTCTAAAACCAGGACTAAACCAGGACTAAATCCAGGTCTAAACTAGTCCTGGATTAGATCTAGTTTAGTTCTGAACCAGGACTAAAACCAGGTCTAAACTAGACCTAAACTAGATCTAAACCAGGTCTAAAACCAGGTCTAAACCAGGAATAAACCAGGACTAAATCAGGACTAAAACCAGGTCTAAACCAGGTCTAAACCAGGACTAAAACAGGACTAAAACCAGGTCTAAACTAGAGCTAAACTCGATCTAAACCAGGTCTAAAACCAGGACTAAACCAGGACTAAAACAGGATTTAACAGGACTAAATGCTGCGTGGACGTGTCTCCTCGTCTTCTATCAATAATATTTTTAAAACGGTTTAATAAAGTCTGAACTTTTTATTTTCTTTTATCAAACAAAACATCTTATGTTACGATATCTTAGTCTTTGCTTCTCTACAGCAAATCAAGTAATCGAAAGTATTCAGATTACGTTACTCACCTAAAGTAATTTAATGGATTCCGTTACAAGTTACATTTTGGGATATGTAATCTGTAATCTGTAGGGGATTACATTTTAAAAGTCACCTTCCCAACACTGTGACTATAACATAAACAACAGAACAGAACAAGTTTAACAAACTCTCCATCTCACTCCAAATCACTAAATCCATTCAATTCTTCATCCTCGGCGTCACTTCTGAGCAACTCCACGACCTCCGGAGGTAAACAGAGCGTCGCTTCCTCTTCTGTGTCGCTGTCGTCAGACTCAGCATCAGTTCCAGTTAGAATTATTCGGGTCTTTCTGAATCCCGACAGGATGGTTTCGGTGTCACTGAAGTCCAGACTTTGTCCATCCATCCAGTGACTCCAGGAAAGTTGTGCGGCGCACCCTCTGCTGCTCCATTACTGTTTTCGGCTGCATATTTTGCTACTTGCAGCTTGTAATCTGCAAAATATGATTTTCTTTTTGGATGCATTTGTGTTCAATCTCCTCAGTCGTCTTTATAAGATTGTTTAAATTGATTTAGAACTAACGGTGCGATGGACTGACATGATACAGACAGGAATAGAGGCTCTTTCTGCAGGAGACATGCGCAGTAGAGCCAAGTGACAGTGGTACAGGAGGAACAGGAGCAGCAGATACTCACACACAAGACTAGAGCCTCTCACCGCTTCAATGTGACAGTTTTAATATATAAATCGCACCAGAGTATAAGTCACAGTTTCACCCACATCATGAAAAAAACGTACTGTCTGAAAAACACAGTACCTGGAGAGAATGTTGGGTAGGATGTCCTGGATGAAGGCGCTCTTACACCTGCGTTGACCACAGTGATCCAGAAAAACCTTCAGAGTCTTCGGGTACTTGTCAGTGTCGTAAGGAGTAGGAGTAGGACGAGGAGTAGACGCCATGATGCACTGACGGACAAGAAGAAGAAGAGAGGAGCTGCCCTCTAACAAAGACGCCTTTTTCCAGCCATGAACATTGTGGAAGAGCTGATTTTCACCCAAAGCTATTCGAGTCTTTGTTACAGAAAAAAAAATACTACTGCTTCAAACTACTAGTAGTTACAGGATCTTTAATCTGCAAATGTTTTACTGTCTTATGTCTTTATAGAGGCTTTGCACCGTCACGTGTCCCACATGGCAACGGTTCCTACGCCGCCATGACACCGGGCACGCTATGTCATTGACTTCAGCAGCACCGGAGAAACATGTTTAGGTTTTGTTGTATATTTGGTTGTTCTAGACACTCTGAAAGGGATAAAACCAATCAGAATTACTCATCAGGAGCTCAAACAAGGGAATTATCAAAAAAAGATGTGGATTATGGCTAGAGAACATAAACCGCGAAGAGATTTCCAATGGTACCATCAAGACACCCAAAGTTTCATCAAAGTATTTGCTATTTAAATTGTTTCATAGCTTATTTAATGAAAGAAGCACATTTACTGAACAAAAAATTTCATAAATTTATCCAGGAAAACCCGCACCAGTTTACGAACCCACACTGGGCTCCTGTGATCAACATGGAGCACGAGTCGAAGAGTCTGTGAGCCAAACCTTGAAAGAATCGGCCATGAAAAGATCCTCACGAACATTAGAAAGATCCACTCACAAAAAGCGATTCATTCTAGAAGACATAGTTGTGGTTAAGCGAGACAATAAAGAAAACATGGGTCCTACGACGAGTGACATGTTTATATGTGCGCTGGAAGATACAGTTTCTACTGCCACTCACACTGCAAATGTTTTCTTTTTACATTTTAGTTCAGTAAATGTGCTTCTCTCATTAAATAAACTATGAAACAATTTAAATAGCAAATACCTTGATGAAAGTGACGTGAGTGTGTCTTGATGGTACCACAGGAAATCTCTTTGCGGTTTATGTTCTCTAGGCATAATCCGTGTCTTTTTTTTTTGGTAATTCCCTTGTTTGAGCTCCTGATGAGTAATTTCCAGAGGAACAGTGAAGAAACTAATCGTTTTATCCCTTTCAGAGCATCTGGAACAACCAAATACACAACCAAACCTAAGCCCATGGCATAGTGTGCCCGGTGTCATGGCGGCGTAGGTACCGTTGCCATGGGGGTCACGTGACGGTGCAAAGCCTCTATTCACTGTTTCATGTTATGGCTGACGTGTGAGTGTGATTTGTTCGTGCTGTTGTGCCTCTTCGCCAGGTCGTCATTGCAAATGAGGTGTTCTCAATTGACTTACCTGGTAAAATATTCAATAAATTAAAAAAAAAAATGTTTCACTCAGCGAACATGCAGTTGTATCAGTCAGGAAAGTGGTCTTTATAGTAAAAACACAAAACTGAAAAATATTGACTCTAGTAACTCTCTGTCTTTCACGTAAATGAAGTCCAGTTTAAGATTTTATTTCTGGTTTGTTGGTGAATATGGATTGTGGAGTAGTGGAGTAGAGGTTTTTCTAAAAGGGCAAGAACAAAGAAATTAGTGCAGTAAATAATAGTTGGAAATAATGAGTATAACTTCATGGTTAAACAGAATATAAATGTCGAGAAATAAATTAAACTCAACTCACTTTCATTCACGCAATAATCCATAAAACAGGTAATCGACTCCACCAACAGCTTCTTCCAGCTCAGCTCAGCGCATATGAAGAGGACAGGTGTGTTTTGGTTGTAGTTATAGGCTTGGGGGCGGAGTCTGGAGTTCAAAGGAGGCACAAGGCGGGACAATGGGAGGAACCAGAAAGAAGCACGAGTGGGAAGGAGGATTTTCTACACTGTGGCTACGTTTACTCATTACGGGGTATGTTGAGAAATCAGTATTTCCTTTTCTCCGTTTTCCAAAATAACATCGTGCACATAGCAGTTTTCATTTACATCAACCCGCATAAATACGCCATCGAGCGTCATCGTAACAACGCCAAGTCTCTGGGCAGCACATGGATTAGATTCAAACCTGTAGCATTTGTTTCATTACAGTTGTAATTATTACTCAAAAATACCTTGAAAAAACGTGCATTACTAAGCAGCTCGCCTCTCCACAGATCTGTTAACAAAGTGGCAAATTTGCTGACCTCTGAGCCTCATTTGTCTCAGGTCGTGGATATGAAACAAACACATGAAAAGTGTTTGCACCAGAAGAAAATGAAACTGCTGCTCTGATGCTCCATGATCATCATCAGAGCAAAAGGGAAACACTGGTCGCACTTTTGGCATATCAACTCCTAAAACTCGGTTTATCTCACTTTAGACACAAACACAAAGAATGTAGTTCTCCAGAATCTTCACTCTAGCCGGAGATTTTAGAAAGATTTTTTTTCAGAGGTGAATTTGCTGATTGTGTGTAAAAGATGAGTACAAACGGAGGGACATACCTCCGTTTTGTAAGAATTATTCTCTTTGTTGATTAATGTTTCATTTTAACCATGTTAATTCACCATGCAAATGCAGAAGTTGTTCACTCAATGTCCTTTGACATGAGTCATGGGGGTGTATCTTACCACCAGTCTTGGCGCTAAACGCAAGTGGGCGTGTCCAGGTGGGGCTGTACTTCTCTGCTGGAGGCTGGAGTGGGACGGTACAAACACTGTGACATTTAAAATCACTGCCTGTGTAGGTCAAGTCTGTGATCTTTGCCTCATTACAGGCAGCAAAGAGGAATGTGGGGAAAAGTTATATAGGTGACAATAAAACAGCTCCGGAGCCCCACGAGCACCAGCAGAGGCACCACAAATACAGAACTGTGTATGGGTCATGACAGAACTGACTGAGTTTGTGTCCCGAACACTCGGAGCGTATGTGTATGTGGTTCGTGCGCACGTGCACATCAACCTTTTATAGTTTTCTCTGTGTTTGTTTAAGACCAGTGTCTCTCATGTGCTCTCATCCCACAGACCCGCTGATGTTACGCACAGACATGATACGTGTGTTTGCTCCGCTGTCACAGCCCTGAGCTGTCAGTGAATGTGCGCAAAGAGTCACGAGAATGTGAGGAAAATCGACATCGCAGCATTAGGACACAGACAGAGCAAGAAAACACACTTTAGGACATCGCTGTAAACGGCCTCGTGTGAATGAGCAGCTTTTGTACAGATCCAGATCAAACCAAACTCTAGAGCAGAGCTGAGCTGATACAGGGAGCGGGCGAGGGGCTGTGCTCTGGCATCTGGACGACTCCCACACAGCACAAGAACATGTTATGAATATTAAGCATTTATCATCTTAATATATTTTCAAATAAAAGAAGCCTTGAGCATGTTACACATTTTTTTTTCAGGAAACTAGTTTGATATTTATTTTTACGATTCTGGCAATTCACTGAACGCACCACACCATGCCCCACTCCACCTGATATTCAGCCACGGCACACCTCTTGTTTAGAACTCCACGCCCCAGACTGGGGGCAGGATATGGTTATGGTTATATGGTTATATATGAGAGGTTAATGTTTGGACTTTGAGAAGCCAACTTGGCAGCAAAGGCATGTTTCAACTCAGACAACATGAACCATTCCATGAGCTGGATCAATATTATTGTGAATTCTCCTGCAAAACAAATTATGCAACAAGTTAATATTTGACAGGATGGTCAAGTATAAGGCTGCCTAGTTTGCTGTACTTATTTGAGATGTTCTTCTGTAAATAAAGAGACCTATTTGTGAACTGTACCAACTCTGCTGGAATCTGTGTACATGTAAATGGGGCCTGTGAGTTTACCAGATGGACACGTGAGGACACAGGACACATGTAGTTGTAATAAACCATCCATCCATCCATCCATTTTCTTCCGCTTATCCGGGGCCGGGTCGCGGGGCATCAGTCTAAGCAGGGACTCCCAGACTTCCTTCACCCCAGACACTTCCTCCAGCTCTTCCAGGGGGACCTCGAGGTGTTCCCAGGCCAGCTCAGAGACATAGTCCCTCCAGCGTGTCCTGGGTCTTACCCGGGGCCTCCTTCCGGTGGGACATGCCCAGAACACCTCCCGAGGGAGGCGCCCAGGAGGCATCCGGAACAGATGCCCGAACCACCTCAACTGGCTCCTCTCGACGTGGAGGAGCAGCGGCTCTACTCCGAGCTCCTCCTGTGTGACTGAGCTTCTCACCCTGTCTCTAAGGGAGCGCCCAGACACTCTGCGGAGGAAACTCATTTTGGCCGCTTGTATCCGCGATCTCGTCCTTTTGGTCACTACCCAGAGCTCATGACCATAGGTGAGAGCAGGAACAAAGACGCTCCTGCTACAATGCCTGCACATCTTCTCACTGTTTTCAGACAAATAAAGTTTACAATATCTGTATCTATAAAGATACTTGAACTGCTCCACTTGAGGACTCTCCACCCACCAGGAGAGGGCAGGCCACCTTTTTCCGGTCGAGAACCATGGCCTCGGACTTGGAAGAGCTGATCCTCATCCCAGCCGCTTCACACTCGGCTGCAAACCGCCCCAGTGCACATTGCAGGTCCTGGTTCGATGAAGCCAACAGGACAACATCATCTGCAAACAGCAGAGATGAAATCCTGTGGTCCCCAAACCGGACCCCCTCTGGCCCCTGACTGCGCCTAGAAATTCTGTCCATAAAAACAATGAACAGAACCGGTGACAAAGGGCAGCCCTGGCGGAGTCCAACATGCACCGAGAACAGGTCTGACTTACTGCCGGCAATGAACACAGCTCCTGCTCCGGTCATACAGGGACCCAAAAGTCCTTAGCAAAGGGCCCCGGACCCCATACTCCCAGAGCGCCCCCCACAGGACACCACGAGGGACACGGTCGAATGCCTCCTCCAGATCCACAAAAACACATGTGGACTGATTGGGCAAACTCCCATGAACCCTCGAGCACCGATGGAGAGTGTAAAGCTGGTCCAGTGTTCCACGACCAGAACGAAAACCACACTGCTCCTCCTGGATCCGAGGTTCGACTATCGGCCGGATTCTCCTCTCCAGTCCCCTGGCATAGACCTTACCGGGAAGGCTGAGAAATGTGATTCCCCTGTAGTTGGAACACACCCTCCGGTCCCCCTTCTTATACAGAGGGACCACCACCCTGGTTTGCCAGTCCAGAGGTACTGTCCCCAACCGCCACGTGATGTTGCAGAGACGTGTCAGCCAAGACAGCCCCACAACATCCAGAGACTTAAGATACTCAGGACCAGGATCTCGGACCACCTCATTGACTTCAGCCAGGGTGATGGATGAGTCCGCCTCCGAGTCCCCAGCCTCGGCTTCTTCCTTGGAAGACATGATGGTGGGATTGAGGAGATCCTCAAAGTATTTCTTCCACCACCGGACAATGTCCCCAGTAGAGGTCAACAGCCCCCACACTGTAAACAGTGTTGGTGAAGAACTGCTTCCCCCTCCTGAGACGCAGGACGGTTTGCCAGAATCTCTTTTAGGCCATCCGATAATCCTCCTCCATGGCCTCCCCGAACTCCTCCCATCTCAGAGTTTTTGCCTTTGACGTAACTGGCCTTGTAGGTAAACGCGACATATAGGGCTTCTGAACCGTTCTTAGTCTGACATGTCCCCCTGGACCTGTTTGGCATGAAGCCCCCTACAACATAGCTCCCGGGATCATTCGGACACTCAAACCCTCCACCACGATAAGGTGACGGTTCAAGGAGGGGTGTAATAAACCACATAACATAATGTTTCATTTGTGATTAAATCATTCACACAGGAGAGGTAAATTCATATGGCACTTGCAGTCATTGTTCATGCAGGTTTTCAATACTGTAAGCTTCAATAAGCTTGAAAATGCTTGAAATTGTAGCTGATAAGAGGTTTTGAAATGTTCCAGCAAGGCCTTTGTTTCATGACATTATTTAAAACAATATTATTTTGTACTACTGTTTATTGGCTGGAGGTTGTTTCATGTTAAATGTCCTCTCTAAAAACGTAGAATATGTAGAAGGGATGCAACAATATTCTAGATAATATCAAATCACTCAGTACGGGAGTCACTGCATACTGTGCATACTGTGGATGTCTGAAGATGTTACGCATGGAGGAAAGCAACACTGATTGACCATAATGTTCACTTTTTACTGAAGGCTGTAAAACTATTAACTATTATGTTGCTTCTGAGTAAACAGCTCCAAAGAGGCTTTCAGCTCAAATACTTTAACAGAGATGGGCTTTATCTTACAGTCACTTTATATTTTATGATATACAATATATATTTGAGTTGGTAATTGTTGTGTTTCAGGTTCTGTTTGGGACTTTTGACATGAGAATTAATGCTTGAAAATGAATGTAAGATTATGATAACATGACATATCAGTGGCAAAGTGAACACAATCCTTATGACTTTGAGTGTACATAATTTAAAGTTTTACGATCATTTACACATAAAACCAAAAACAAATGATATCTTGGGCATCTCTGAAATAATTAGGAAATACTTTGTGGATAATCTGAAGGACGCTGAGCTCTTTAGCTGCAGACTCGGCAGCAGAATGGAGATGAGAGCAGAGCTGGAACAGGGATTAAAAGCTCATATCGACCGGCCTGTGCAGTGGACCACCGCGATACAGGCGGCCATGTTTAATTCAGGGACAGAGAGGAGACGCTGCAGCCGGGAGGAGAGGAGGAGAGGATTAAGAAGTCTACGTCGCCTTCAAATTATCAACAAATCTATCATATTTAGTCCG